AGGAGGTGGCAATTCCCTGTGGAAGTGCTAGGCAGAAACAACTAAGAACAAGCCCCGAGCACAGACACCGGGTAGCACAAGCTGGCTCTAGGGGTGTTATGTTCATCTTTCTGCTTGGGGTGGGGGAAGGGAGGCCTTGACCATAAAGTCCCTTTGTTAAAGTCCATTGAGGACCTGGGGGAGAGGGATAAAAACAAAATAAAATAAAAGTGGTGTCATTACTTAGCACGTTTCAAAAGGAAGCGGGGCACGCTGCGCATTGTGCGAGTGGCGGGAGGCAGCGAGGGGCGAGATTTCTGTATTCAACATGTGGCATCTGTAACCACTCAGGCGCCCAGACCGAAGCGCTCTGTGGAGTGGATGTGGTCAGTCACGGGGTGATCCTCCAGGGTGCTGGGCTAGCTTGGATGCTGCTGGACAAGGCTGGAGGTCTGGGCGGTACATCGTGTCTGAGTCCAAAGAGGCCCCTCTGGTTTCAGGGCATTCAGGGGATTCTCCGTCACGTGCACCAGAGCCAGATACTAAATCTCCCTCACCCTGACTGAGCCCAGGCCAACAGCCCAACCTCTCAGCTAAATGAAACAGTCACAGAAAACCATCTTTTTTGTTTTCTTAAGAAAATAAATATTTCCAGGGAGTTAAGCTGAAGTATAGGGGTTGGAGAGGGGGCAGGAAGTAGGGCCAGCACCCGAGATGAACACAGCAGCTCCCTCCTCCAGGGGGCACCAGCGGGGCACCAGGGCCCTCACTGTGTCCCTGTGCCAGGTGCTCGCAGTCCCCCTTCCCATCCCAGGTCTGCACAAGTTGCCCCTTTCTTAAGGATGATGCAATGTGTCTCCGTGCTGGCTATGAGCTCCCAACTGGTTCCAAGACTTGGGGTGGTGGGGGCTGGAGGCTCTGGCCAAAGCCAGGCTTAAATCCTTGGTCAATTTTACAATCAGGGAAGAAATGAGTTGAGTTTAGAAAACACCCAGTTGAGATGTTCAGTCGCAGGACAGCTAAAGAGCTTTTCACAGATGAGACCAAGTCCAAGCCTACGCTGCTGCGGCGGGAAGGCAGAAGGATGAGCTTGCCTTTCAGCGCCGCCGGAAGGCCCGGGATATTCTCCAGGCGTTGGGTTCCTCGTAGCGGTTGTACAACGGTTCAAGCCGCTGCTGCTTCTTCTGCTTGCTTAGCTTGGTTGGGTCGGAGACCTTGAAGAAGGCTGGAGCAAACTCCACAAGCCACCGGGGGTCGATGGTGGTGACCTCGCGCATGTATTCCTTTGTGGTCAGCACCAGCTCATGGTACACCACCCTGAGGGGGGACAGAGAGAGGACTCAAGCCTCTGTCGCAGGCCCCACTCCACAGTCAACCTGGTCTCTGGGGCCTCAGCTGAGCTTGCAATTTACCCTCTCACCTCTCCTGCCTGACCCCTCCGGAGACCGCAGTCTGTTTACGACAGCCACACTCAATGCTGAGGAGCCCACATACCTCTAACCATAAGAAAGCTCTCTGGAGAAACGTGTTCTAGTTCTGGCTCTGGCGCTAACTAGTTAAGTGACATGGAGCCAATCACATCCCTTCTCTAGACCTTAGTTTCTTGCCCCATAAAATCGGAGGGTGGTTTTTCAGATGGTTTCCACAGAATTCGAAGGCCCTGATGAGGAGCCTTAGACACTGCCACCAAGGGATGGGGAAGGCTGAGCAGGCAAGGATCTACT